AATCAATGGCTGAATAAATATGAGTACTCCTACAAAAAAAATAAATAAAAAAGAAAGGAAGGAAGGAAGGGTGTAAGGGACAGGAATGGTTATTTCTTTATGATCAGAGTGTGTGTACATTACGAAGAACTCACATTCCCAAATGCTGGTTGTCCCTGCCAGAGCAATCAGTATAGAAAGATATTTTGAGGGCATCCACAATGGAAAAGTAGTCAGAAACTCTCAATATTTATAGATGACATGATATTAAACCTAGAAAAACCTAAAGACTACAAAAATGCCCCTAGAAACTATGTACTTGTAAAGTGGCAGGTTACAGAATCAATGTGATAAATTCATGAGTTTTTTTCTGCAAGCAAATTACATAACAGAAGAGAGAGAAATCAAAAAACTCATTCAAAATTGTGCCTCAGAAAATCAAGTACAGTTAGGTAGACACTTGTCTTGCATATGGCAAATCATGGTTCAATCCCCGTACTCCATATGGTATCCTAAGCCCAAACCCGCCGGGAGTAATCCTTGAGTACAAAGCCAAAAATGAATAAACCCAACAAAAAAGAAAGAAAAGCAAGTACTGGAAACCATAACAAAAGAGGTGACAGACATATATCAGAAAACTATAAATTGGTATTAGAAGAAATAGAAGCACATCCCCTGTTAATGAATTGGAAGGGTTAATACTGTCAAAATAGCAATCTTGCCCAAAGTATAATACAGATTCAATGTAGTTCCTATACCCATGACATTTTTCAAAAAATACATATATCAAATACTGCTGAAATTTAGATGGATCAATAAAAACACACCCCCCCACCCCCAGTACTCAAATCAATACCTGGGAAAAAAGAAGATGGTGGTCTCCTGCTCCCCAGTTTCAAACCATACTATGAAGCTATAGTAATCAAAACATTAAGGTAAGGTCAGACTCTCAGATCAATGAACTAGAGTCCAGAGACAGAGTCAGAGATTCTCATGTATATAGACAGTTAATCTTGAACAAAAAAAGGAAAAATATCATAATTTATGGCAACTAAGGGAGCTTTCCTTCATACCACATATAAATTCTCAATTTAAAATCCAATGATAGTAAAAATTATTTATTTCCTTTTCTGAAATATATCCTAGAAAATTAAGGCACTTGCTCATTGCTGGTAGGACTGTAGACTGGTTCAGACTTTGGGGAAGACAATATGGACATTCCCCAAAGGACTAGGAATGGTGCTTCCATGCAACCCAGCAATTCTACTCCTGGGAATATACCCCAAACACTTAACACAATACAAAAAAGACATCTGCACTTCTATGTTCATTGCAGCACTAAAATCTATAAACAACCCAAGTACCCAAGAACAGACAACTAGATAAAGCAGCTATGGTAAGTATACAAAATGGAATACTACTCGGCCATCAGAAAAGACAAGGTCGGGGCTGGAGCAATAGCACAACAGGTAGGGCGTTTGCCTTGTACGCGGCCGACCTGAGTTCGATTCCCAGCATCCCATATGGTCCCCTGAGCACCGCCAGGAGTAATTCCTGAGTGCAGAGCCAGGAATGGCCCCTGTGCATCGCCAGGTGTGACCCAAAAAGAAAAAAAAAGACAAGGTCATGCAATTTGCTAATACACAGACGGATCTGGAGCTGAGCAAAAAGTGTCAGGGAAAGAGGGACAGACACAGAATGATCTCACTCATATGTGGGATATAAAGAAACGTAGTAGGGGAATAATACGTAATAGCAATAGCAATGAAGAGAAAAGGAGGACTGGTCCTTAATAGGAAATCTATGAGGGAATAGGGGAGCGTGGTTAGGTCAGAGAAGGGACCACTACAACAATAATAGAGGTCATGGGGGTATGGTGCTGTCAGCAGGTCAATCTGTACCTGTGAGGCGAGTGCATCAGCAGCCTGATGGCAACGTCAGACTTTCAGATACCCCAAAATTGCTGCTGTGCATTTGGTCAGACCCCAAAAACTTGAGGCAAAGTTTACCAAGAAAGTAAATGGCCAAAAGTTAGGTATATGGGAGACACACCCACAGATCATCTCTGGCTCAGCTATATAATTGGAGGCATGGCCTCTCTGGTTCCTGATCAAACTGCTTAAGGGCCACGATGCCAGAGACTCAGAAACGAATCTCAGAACACAAAGGCTTTTGGCAAAAATGCGTCCTGTTCCTGCAGTAGGTTACTGGGGCTGGGTCACTCCAGGTGGGAACAGGTTTTGTGCCTTGGCCTATTCCCCCCTGGCGGCCCGGTGACCGCCATCCTCCAGAGGTCACTGGACAGTCAGGTTTGGGCCTGCAGTGACGAGACACGCGGGGCCTCACCAGATGGGGGTGGAACAGGCCCTTTCCTCCCCATCCCAACGAGACCCTGAGTCGCCGACTACAAATGGCCTCTCGGGCTCCTGATCAAGCTGATTAACGGCCATGATCCCAGAGACTCAGAAACAAATCTCAAAACCCAGCGGCTTTTGGCAGAAATGCATCTGGACTGCATACAAGGTGGCCGCCGCCTCAGAGCTTATTGGAAAGTCAGGTATGAGCCGGCGGTGATGGGACAACTGCAGTCTCATGGGAATGGGGGTGGTACCAGCTCGTCCTTCACGCCATACCAAGGTCACGAGTTGTCCCTCACAAGCAGCTCTCCGGCACAGCCATGGCTCCAGAGGCAAAAGGACTTAGTCCAGAGTCTGGCAGCTTGCGGAAGAGGTGAGTGGTCCATGCGTTAAACTACGGCGCCATGCCTCCCTTCACCTCCCTTCCGCCTCCCCACCCCACCCCCAGCCGCAAGGTAACTGCCGCCTCAGAGCTTATAGGAAATCAGGTATGAGTCAGTGGTGATGGGGCAACTGCAGTCTCATGGGAACGGGGGCAGTACCAGCTCATCCTTCACGCCCTACCGAGGTCAAGAGTTGCCCCCCACGAGTGGCTCTCCAGCACAGCCATAACACCAGACGCACAGAAACCAATCCCGTAATTATCTGGCTCTTTGCAGAAATCCAAAATTGCATGGCCGCTTTTGCAGCCGCGCCACATTATATGATTCTCATACCAGCTCTAGAAAACAAAGTACTTCACAATGCCTTTTCAGCAATTCTGATTGTAGGAGGGAAATTATAAACAATAATGGTGCATCTTTTGTGGAAATAATAGAAATCATCTGCCTCACAGGCATTAGGAGGGTTGGGATGGGGGGTATATTGGGGTTCTTGGTGGTGAAAAATGAGTACTGGTGAAGGGAAAGGTGTTTAATCATTGTATGACCGAGACTTAAACCTGAAAGCTTTGTAACTTTTTCCACAGTGATTCAATAAATATAAGAAAAAAATAAATAAAATTATGGAAAAAAAGGTGGAATTCATGCCCAATTCAATCAGCTAATCAGTGGCTGAATAAATAGCAGTACTCCTACATTAAAAAAATTTTTTTTTAAAAATAGAGGTCATTCTCCACAAGATCTGGGTGTTGAAAGGAGGTAAAGTGGTATGTTATCCTAAAATATGATATCCTAAAAGTAACAGTACTATGAATCACCATGCCTAATAGGAAAAAGAAAAAGAAATGCTTGCATATATCAGGCTGGAGGGCAGCAGGGAAACTAGGGACAATAGTGGAGGAGAGTGGACACTGGTAAAAGGATCAGTGCTGGAACATTGTACACTTGAAATTTAATCATGAATGAATTTGCAATTTACAGTGATTCAATTAAAAAAAAGATTTTTTAAGGCACTTGATTGCAAGCAGACAACCCCATTTGATCCTGGTACCACATATGGTCTCCAAAGCAGTAGAAGTAGTAATCTCTAGAACAGAGAGCCAGGAGTACTGCCAGGTGTGGCACAAAAGGAAAAAAAAAAAAGAAAGAAAGAAAGGCAGGGGCCAAGAAATAGAATAGGGGTTAAGGAACTTTCTTTACATCCCACTGACACCCATTTAAATCATCAATACACAAAGAGTTGCCCAAGTATTGCCAGGCATAACTCTTGGGCAAAGAGCCAGGGACAGACAGTCCCTGAGCAATGCCAGGTGTGCCACCCTACCTCCAAAAGAATACATTCTAAATTAAGTCTATATACAGACTGTAAAATCTTTGATATATGTACTAAGGTGAAAAAAATTAAGACTAAACAACTTCAAACTTAGAACTTTTTTCATGAGACAAACATAGTAAGGAATCACAAATCAGGACTAGTAATGATCCATATGATTTACAGTCTCCTTTCTTCAATTTTCTCAGTACAATTCTTAGGTGGACCCAATTGAATTCAATTGGATTAAACAACACTGCAGTCTTAGGATGGCACAGGGAAATTCAATTTCTAACTTCACTTATAGCTAACAGGTATCATAGAAAATCAAGAAATCCTTCATATGGGTGTTTGCTAAAATTCCTTTTCAATCAGAAGACCCTTAAGGAGCACTGAATTTCAGGAAAACAATCATTTCAGGATAAAGAAATACTATTTTTAAAATATTTATTTGGGGGCCAGAATGATAATACAGTGGGCAGGGTGTTTGCCTTGCACACAGCTGATCTAGGTTCGATCCCCGGCATTACATATGGTCCCCGCAAATAAAACCACAAGTAATTCTTGAGTGCAGAGCCAGGACTAACCCCTGATCACTCCCTGGTGTGATCCCAAAAGCCAAAAGGGGAAAAAAAAGAAGATATTTTTACTTATAAAAGCTTTGAAAGGACCAGAGAGACAGTAAAGAAGTTAAGGTATATGTCCATGCTCGTCCCTGGCACTATATGATCCTTCAAGCATTCACTGGGTATAACTCTGTAGGTACTTGAGCAGCACCAGATGTGGTATTGAAAGCCCAACAAGGGTGCCCTGGATAAGAAAGATATGGCCCAAAGACCACCACATCCTCACTTCCTTGCATTAAACCACCAGTCCAGTTGGCCAATAATTGCCAATGGTGGCCCATGGACCCCTGAATGTAAGTTGGAAAGGCAACCCCACCTCACCATCATTTTTTCAAGCTTAAATTACCTCTGCTTCTACATCAACATTTTGCTTCAAAAGTAACTTCAAAATGTCAACATGTCCATTCTGACTAGCAGCTTGCATAGCAGTATGACCAGCACATTGTCCATTTACCTAAAAAAGAAAGAAGAAAAATAATGTTTCAAACCAGAGTCAATATATACTTAACAGTAAAGGTTTAAATCTAGCATAATTTGAATGTACAGCAGACAGAGTGCTTGCTTTGCAAATGGCCCGTCAGGGTTCTATCCCAACGTCTCATATAGTCCCCCAAGTACTGTCAGGAATAATTCTAGAGTACAGAGCCATAAGTAAGCCCTGATCATAGCCAAGTGTGCCCCCAAAACAAAACAAAACACAACAAAAACCCAATGTTCAACGGGCTATGAAAAAAAGTGTTGACTAAATCTGCAAGTTGAAAAAAGGAAGAAAGTGAAAGTAACATGAAGAAAGGAAGTTACATTCGCTTTGTACAGTTACTTCTGTTTGAATTATTAAGCCATATTAAAAAGGCTGAACAGAATTTTTTTAAATGTTCTTTACTACAATAAAAATAAATTTAACAAATATGTCAAGTACAACCACAAATAACTACCATGAAGGATGCATAAATGAGTTAGCAGGGTAGCAATATTCAACTATTATATTATAAACCAGTAATTTTTAATCTTTTGTGTATTTTATATGTAAATAAAAACCTTGCACCTTAAGCTTACACTCAAGCTTAAGTGCAATTTTTTTAATTCTACCTACTCTCAACAATAAAACTAAAAGAGATTCTGAATAAAGACGATAGCCTAATAACACATCCTTATATCCTATCCCTCTTGAGACTATACTAATAAGAGTAAAATAACTAAACATTAAAAAGCCACAAAGGCTCTCTGAGCTATCTCTCTAGTCCCCAATCAATTTATTTTTATTTGGAGGCATCCCAAGCAAAGCTACCGTCGTCGAGGAGGCCATTCTGGGTGATACTCAGTCAACAAAGCCAAAGAGAAATCTTGGGCTCATTCCCACATGCAAAGAACATTTCTAATGCAGGAAAATAAACAAGGGCAACACTTGTCTTTTAAAAAACAATAGAGAACATAAGTTCTAATAGGGGCCAGAGAGACAGTTTAATGGGTAAGAGAGTTACAAGAAGAGAAAAAAAAAATATATCAATAGTATAGAGAACTCAGAAAGATTCTCACAAATAATGTCAAATAATCTTTCCCGCCGCCCCCCCCCCCCCCGCCCCAGCCTTTTCAGGTCATACCCAGCGATGCACAGGGGTTACTCCTGGTTCATGCACTCAGGTATTATTACTGGCGGTGCAAGGGGACCATATGGGATGCTGGGAATCAAACCCAGGTTGGCTGCATGCAAGGCAAAATCCTACCCACTGTGCTATCACTCTAGCCCCTGTCAAATAATCTTTGACGAAAGAATAAAGGTAATACAGTGGATCCAAAAAAGTCTGTTCCACAAATGATACTATAAATACTGAACATTCACATGCTAAAATTAATCTAGATATTAATACCTCATACTCTACACAAAAAATTAATTCAAAATGGCTTAAATGTGAACCATAAAAGTATGAAACCACAAAAAGATAGCATAGGTCAAAAACCTGGAAAACTTTGTTCATCACATAAATTTTGAAAGCATCACACATAACACCAAAGCCTTGAAATTCTGTGAAAGAATTAGTAGATAACCTAGACTTCATTAAAATTAAAAACATCTGCTCTGCAATAGAAAGTGGTAATACAAGACAATGAGCCAGAGACTGCAAAAATATTTGCAAAAGCTATGTACATAACCAATATAACACTATAACCCAAAATATACAATAAAAACGTGATTTTAAAATGTACTAGATATCTAAGAAACCTTGCCAAAGAGGAGATACAGATACTGAAGGGAAATAAGGGCCAGAGCGAAAGAACAGCAGGTAAGTCATTTGCCATAATGGCAATCGATACAGTTCCCTGCGCACAACCAGGAGTAATTCCTGAGTGCAAAGCCAGAAACAACTCCATAGCATTGCTCCCCCCACACCACCACCAACAATGACAACAACAAAAACCACAGAAGGGGAAAACTGCTACATACATCATATGTAGCACTGTGGCACCGTCCTCCCATTGTTCATCAATTTGCTTGAGCAGGCACCAGTAACGAGACTTGTTGTTACTGTTTTGGGCATACTGAATTCATCATGGGTAGCCTGCCAGGCTTTGCCATGCGGGCAGGATACTCTCCATAGCTTTCTAGGCTCTCCGAGAGGAGTAGAGGAGTGGAACCTGGGTCGGCAGCATGCAAGGCAAACCCCCGACATGCTGTGCTATCGCTCCAGTCATATACAAGTAACTATACATATGACTATACATTGTATGTAATGAGGACAATGCAAATAATATCAATGAGGGGGCCACAGTGATAGGACAGCAGGTAGAGCATTAGGGCGCTTGCCATGTACATGGCTGACTTGACCCAGTTTCCACACCTGGAATCCCAGAATGTCCCCAGCTTTGCCAGGAGTAATTCCTGAATGCAGAGCAAGAACTAACCTCTGATAAATACCAGGTGTAGCCCAAAAAATAGAATTTAATTTAATCTTTGTTTTAAAGAAGATGCCATTACCACCTAATAGAATAACCAAACACTGGAACGCTAAAAATATCAAAGTTACGGTAATGAGCAATAGAAAACTTTTTAATATTACTACTGATAATGCAAAATGATACAGATACTTTAGAGAATAAATTGGTGACTTCTTTCATTTTTCTTTTTTTTTTTAGGGTCACCCAGTGCTGCTTAGGGAGTGCCAGGGAGATGCAGAGGGGGCCATATAACACTGGGAATAGAACCCAAAGATTCCTTTCGCAAGCACACACTCCAGTCACCTGGAGGGCTGGGGCAATAGTACAGTGGATAGGGCACTTGCCTTGCACACTGCAAACCAGGTTCAATCCCTAGCACCCCTTTGTGGTTCCCCAAGCACTGCTAGGAGAGATTCCTGTGTACAGAGGCAAAAGTAACCCAATACCATATAGTGTGCCACTCCCAACAAAAAAATGTAAAGTCTTTATCTTTTAGAAATATACACTGAAGAACATCTGATGTTTTGAAAACTTAGAAAACCAAAAAACAGAAAAATCACATTTGTCTATATTCTATTAATTATTGAATCAATGTAAAAAATCTAAAATAAGTATAAGCATAAGGTTTGTACTATTCTACTTTTGCATATGCTACAAAATAATTGTTTTTTAAATACTCACATCCACATCTGGTCTTTTTAGCAAATCTTCCACTTTAGCAACATCTCCATTGGCAGCTGCCTTAACTAATTCTTCATTGAGATCACCAGATTCTTGGGTTTCAAATAATTTCTTCAAGAGTTGGGAGAGTCTTTCTGTAAAGCATCAAATAAAGTTATTATCATAGAAGGATATCAAACTTTAATAATAAACAAGTATTAGTCATATACTTTTATGTACTTTGTATTATAATTAATGATATTTTTATGCTATGCATAATTAGCTATGCAGGTTATGATTACTATATAAATTATATTAAACTTGAGCCCAACGGTTTTCTTCAATTCACGTACAAGCCAAAATTTTAGAAAAAGTACAGCTACATTCAAATAATAATTCAAGATTGACTTTATATCGAAGATGTTAGAATATAGAGCTGGAGCGATACTACAATAGCTAGGGTGCTTGCCTTGCATGCAGCCAACCCAGATTTGAGCCCCACCACCACATGTGGTTCCCCCAAGATTAATTCCTGAGTGCAGAGCCAGGAATACGTCCTGAGCATCACTGAGTGTGGTCAAAAAAAAAAAATGTTCTGAATGAACATACTACAATGAGTAATATTGATACCAACTTCCTATCAGCTGTACCAGACTCTCAGAGCTCAATGCTACAGAAATAACTCAACAAATTAATGACTTTGATTCAACAGTCATCATTTCTATAATATCGAAAGACATTTTAGAAACAAATCAATTTTTAGTAGAAAATAAATGTTATTTAATAACATTTTGAAATATTTAATGACAGTTGAAAACAAATGTTGAAAATATCTGTCAACAATACATTTAAAAAGGTGCAAACTAATTGTTTTTGACTAAAATAAAGGGGAAAAATAAGAATGCGACTATAAGTCACCTCCCCACAAAAAAAATAGTACCAATAGTGAACTATTTCAACTCATTAATTCTGACTCTTAATAAAACAAAGAAATCACAAAGCAGGTCAAAGCAGTGGTTCTCAAACTGGTATCATATGGCCACCTGTGTACACTGGACCACAGCGGGTACAGGTGAGAATCACATAAATGGGGCCACAGACTAAGGGCCAAGCAGTAGGATGGTGAACTACAAAAAAAAGATCAGAAAGAGGCCACAGCTGGGGAAAGGCTGAGCAAGAGTTAATCCATAAGAAAAGCAGAATATTAATCTCCCAATCTCAATTTTTTCTGACAAAATTTTGAGCAATAATCTAAAAAACTGAATAATCATAATCCAAGTATCTAAATTTTAATAAAATGTTATTAATATTTCTATTTTGATACCCATGATACCGGCAGTCATCATTGAAAGCTTTTAAATCTTAAAATGGATCAGTTATCTTCAAATTCTCTTCACAAAATAAAATAAAAATTTATTAGGGTCACAGAACATCTAGCATTTTTCCCTTTTTCTTCATTTTTTTACAGTTAATTTACAATTTTGTTATGTGTAATTGTACTCAGTCTTAATATGCATGTAGTTAGCCTGCTATGATATTATCTAAACTCAAAATAAAAAATAAAAACTGGAGCTAGAGATATGAGAACAGGTAGGGCACTTGACTTGCACGCAGCCAAGCTAGGTTCAATCCCCAGCATTCAATATGATCCTCCGTGAACCACCAGGATTAATTCCTGAGTGTAGAGCCAGGAATAATGCCTTAGCATTGCTGGGTTTGGCCCCAAAACCAAAATAATAATTTTTAAAAATAAATACATTATTTAGGCTGGAGCAATAGCACAGCAGGTAGGCGTATGCCTTGCACGCAGCCAACATGGCCGACCCGAGTTCGATTCCTCCGCCCCTCTCGGAGAGCCCGGCAAGCTACCGAGAGTATCTCGCCCACACGGCAAAGCCTGGCAAGCCACCCGTGATGTATTCAATATGCCAAACACAGTAACAAGTCTCACGATGGAGACATTACTGGGCCCGCTCGAGAAAATCGATGAACAACGGGAGGACCGTGACCGTAAATACCGTAAATTAAACATTAGCAAATCGTAACAGGAAAGCTGAAAATGTAAGGAATAGCACAAAATTGGAGTCACCCAACATTTTTATTTTTTAATACTTAATATTGTGGCTCAATCATCTTTATTACTATATATTACTATGTAGGAGCTGGAACGATAGCACAGTGGGTAGGGCATTTGCCTTACACGCAGCCAACCTGGCGGCCCCGGTTTAATTCCTTCACCCCTCTCGGAGAGCCCGGCAAGCTACCGAGAGTATCGCACCCACATGGCAAAGCCTGGCAAGCTACCCGTGACGTACTTGATATGCCAAACACAGTAACAACCAGTCTCACAATGGAGACGTTACTGGGCCCACTCGAGCAAATCGATGAACGGGAAGACAGTGCTACAATATTAGTATGTTTTAGAATAACTGAATTTTTATACAAAGCTGGAGGAAGGAAAAAAAGTGTTGTGTCATGAGCCTACACAGGCACCTAGACTATTCATATTTAATATGGTTTTATGCTCATTGGGATATGTGTAATCACTCTAAATTGTGTAAGATAAAAAAATGGCTGATATTTAAATTTTTTCAGGTAGAGAGCAATCTGCTGACAATAATGTTAAAAACAAAAAATAAAGTGATAGTTCAGGGCACTTTGGAGGGGGACAGGTCAGCCTGGGGTTGGTCCAAACAGAGCCTCAGCAGCTGAAAATTCTCACCCTCCACAATAGCCACCATGCTCCCAGCCAGAATCCACTGCTCAGAATGAGTCTCATCCCGAAATTAATCTGTTGAAAAACTCTGGTATGCAGGTTTTGTGACTGAAATCTTCAGGCTTTCACGAGTTGGTCTGGACTACCTCCCCCCATATCCCTGTTCTTCCAGAAGCCACGCCAGTCACAGACATACCCAAAAGCTGCCACTCAGTTAAAAATTTAATTCCAGCTGTGTCACACCATTAAAAAATTTTGGACTTCCTTGAGTATACACATGGCCACATAACATCTCAAATTCTACAACATTGATAAAGCTGTAGTAGCACACCAGATTGGATGGGATATAACATAAAAGGCAACCAATCTCAATTAACAAACATAAGCACTGAAGGCTTAACCTGTAACATCTTAGTAATCTCTTGTACAAGGACTAAATGCCTTCAAGGTAGACGAAACAACAGTCTTCACTAACTTTCTTCTAAAAAAACATTTTTTGATCATTCTCTTAGCAAATTATTGATATAAGGCAATATAAAATAAATTACTGAGGGCCTGCTATGTGGGCAGGTTTAAGGGGTGGTTGGTGGAGGAAAGGTATAATGGTGCTGGCATTGGTGTTGGAATGCTGAATGCCTGTAACAAACCATCATGAACAATTTTGTACACCACAGTGTTACATAAAGTATAAGGGGGAAATTGGAAAACAAAATAAACTAAATGGCAAAAAATAAACAGATCAGCACAATGGCAGCAGCAGCAAGCAGCAAAACTAGCAGAGGGACATCAGCTCTCACGGCTCTCAACAGCTGATGGGGTTCACAAAATTTCTGCATGAGTGAATGGGGGTGCCCCTTCAATATTCTGTCTCAGGGAGAGTGCCAGTTAAAAAAAAAAAAAAAAAGTCCTGTTGGCCTGCCACAGAGCGCCAGCTCAGAGTGTGACTTGTGAGAATGGCCACAGCACAGCCACCAGTAGACGGAGCTACCACAGCTCTAGGTGCTATGGGTATCTGTGGAGTTTTAACATCTCTGAATAGGGCTCTTCGGGTCTAACCCGGCACCCCCCAGAGCATGGGTCTCAGAGGTGAGGGGACGCAACAGATTCCCACTATGGGTCCCCAGCATTTCGCCTTTTCTTCCCCAGACCACCCACAACATATTATGGAGGAAAACCTCCCTGAGCACCAACTGCCTGGAGACTCAGGATGGGGGCATAGCTATTCTGGACTGGAGACTGCAGCCTGCCCAGAGTGCCCAGGCTGTGAATGGTAATAGCCCAGGATCCGGTCCTGGCTGCTGCCAAGTCACTGCTGCCACTGGGGTCCAGGGGTTACAGCGCCATCAGCAGAGCAACCTGGACCTGCTGGGCAACTGCATCAGCAGCCTGATGGTGCCTTCAGGCTTCCTGATGCCTCCATATCACAGCTGTGCCTCTAGCCAGACTCCAAAAACTCAGGACCAAGTTTCCCAAGAAACTAAACCTCCAAAAGTTAGATATGTGGGAGCCACACCCACAAACCACCTCTGACTTAACCACACAAGCTCATTTATCAGCCTTGCTTCAGAGACTCATAAATAAATCTCAAAAGAGATCAAAAGCTGCAGTTAATCTCAAACCTGAGCAAGGCAGAATAGACTGGGGTAGATCAGAAGGGGACAGATCAGCCCACTCCTGCCCAAAAAGAGCCCCCAGCAGCAGCTTGCTCCCGGCCAGACTTCACCATCTCAGAATAGACCTCACCAAGACATAATCTGCTGAAAATTCTGGTATGCAGATTTTGTTACTGAGGCTCTCTCAGAATTAGGATGGGCTACCTGCCCACACTTCCCAATACTCTTGGAATTACCAGCAGTCACCCACACGAACCAACTCCAGCACCACCATGTAAGCTCTTCCCTGGCTTCATTTCAGAGACCCATATATAAATCTCGAAAGAGATCAAAAGTGCAGTTAATCTTGGACCCACACGAGGCTGAACAGAATGGGGCTGGGGGGCCTAGTCAGCCTAGTGCACTCAAAAGCAGAGTTCCTGGAAGTTGCTTGCTCCCACAATCCAAAACCGCCGCCATGCTTCTGAACAGACTCCACCATCTCAGGACTAACATCACTATGATACTAATCTGCTGAAAATTCAGGTATGTGGTTTTTGTGACTGAAATCTCCAGGCTTTCGCAGGGTCGGGATGGGTCGCCTTCTCCAACCTCCCTGTACTTTCAGAAGTCTCAGCAGTCATGTCCACACCACAAAGCAACCACCCAGTGGGGGAAAAAAATACTTCAGCTGTACCTTCCTGACAAAAATACTGAAAACCCTGAACAATCATGATGACGTCTTAGTACCTGTATTGCAAACCAAAATACCCAAGGGGAGGGGGGGAGAGAGGGGGGGGGAGAGAGAGAGAGAGAGAGAGAGAGAGAGACTCTAAGACAACTCCATTGAGACAGGCAGGGGAAAGGGTGGAGGTTGTAGTGGGTTGTGGAGGGAAACTGGGAATATCGGTGGTGAGAAACATACACTGGTGAAGGGATGGGTGTTGGAACATTGTATGACTGAAACCTAATCATGAATAGCTTTGTGATGGTCTATCTCACTGTGATTCAAGAATAAATAAATAAAACTCTGACTAAAGAGTAGAATATTAAATTTCAGGCATCTCCAAGTTGATATTGAAAAGTCCTATCACCTAAGAAAAGGTACCCATATATGGGATGTTCTGTATATGAAGACTGGGGAATTAGCAAAGGTTATAACATAAACCATATTTCTTTTAAAGTACAATACAAAACATACCACCAGATGCATTACTAATGGCTGATCCTGCAGATGCCACCTTGGATACTGCTGCTGGATTGTATGTCCAAGACGTTCCACAAACTTCCACCTTTAAATCACTGTCAGAATAAATTTGTTGCACTCGGCCAACTTTACCTAAAGTCTTAAAGATAAATAAATAAAAAGATTAATGTTTCCAAGTCTATGGTATATACCATAAAAATTAGACTGAAACTCAATCATGAAAAACTTTGTAACTGTATCTCATAGTCATTTAATTAAAAAAATTGATGATTATTTTTCATACTTAAAATATTCACTTTATTTTGTTCCTAATAAAAATACTTTTAAAGGGTAAACATATTCAATTGAGTTTATTAGCTACAAATATAGAGGATCTTTTGTTGTTTGGGAGCCACTGCAACAATATTCAGGGATCAACTGGCTACAACATTGTTCAGGGATCAAATGCCTCCAATATAATGTTTATAACATGCAGTGCCAGGGATCAAACCCCGGCTCCTGTATGCAAAGCCTGTATTCCAGTCCTCTGAGTCATCACAGCCAAAGAGAGTACAGCGGGTAAGGTACCTGCCTTGCATATGGCTGACCTGGGTTCAGTCTCTGACATCCCATATGGTCCCCCAAGCACCACCAGGAATGATCCCTGAGCTCAGAGCCAGTAATAACCCCTGAGCATCATGAGATGTGACACCTCCCCACCACCAAAGGAGGAGGGTGTAAAGTCCTTTGAAACATTGGTAAGGAATGCAAAGAAGAGTACTGGGTTTAGGCATAGGCCTTGCATGCAGCCAATCCCTGTAGGATCCTTGACAGCACATGGTCCTCCACACATCAAGAGATACAGTCTGGTGGCACCCTAAGTACTGCTGAGCTGTGCCAGGCAATCCCCAGCACTGTACGGTCCAAGCAGCACAAGCTCAGACCCCTCACATCCTCAAGCCAAGACAATGAACCACCAGCCTGAATGACTGAGAATCAGCAAGAGTGGTTGCCAAGTTCCCTGAGCACCACTTAAAAGACCTACCAGCATTAACAACAAAAGAGTATCTCTTTTAAAATGTTTTACGAGGGGCTGGAGTGACAGTAGAGCTGGGAGGGCACTTGCCTTATATGTGGCTGATTCAAGTTAGATTCTGGTACCTGATATGGTACCCCAAGCCTGCTAGTAGTGATCCTTGAGCGCAGAGCCAAGAGTAAGCCCTGAGCACTGCCAAGTGTGCCCCTCCTCCCCTCAAAAACAGTTTTTAAAAGCACAGGAAAATTAGTCTTTAGCAGGAAGTTTGCCATTGGGAAAGGGAGTGGGCATAGGTCAGGGAAGGACTCCCCCCACCCCACAAAAAGAAAAAGTTTTACAAACCACAGGAAAACTGGTTCTTAATAGGAAACTTGCCACTGGGAGGGGGAGGGGGCATAGGTCAGGAAAGGGACAACAATGATAGAGGGAAGTGGTCAGGGTGCTGAAAGGAAGTAAAGTGATATGAACAATATCCTATCAGCAACATTATTGTAAAACACAATGCCTAATGGGTGGGGAGGGAATGCCAGCCATTGAGGCAGGCTGGGGAGATAGGGGGGAGGGCAGGAAGAAAACTGGAAACACCAGGAGAGAAGCAGAAAAGGGATTGGTATTGGAACACTGTAAGCCTAAAACTCAATCAGAAATAACTCTGTAACTTTATAATTCAAGGTGCTTCAATTAAAATAACATTTTAATAACGTTTGAATAACACTCTCATATTCCCATAAGAGAATGTAAACACAAAAGGCAAACCATGCGCTTATCGACAAGTTCATGGAGATTTTGCTTTGGGAGGGAAACTGGCACTTTAGTACTGGTGTCACATCTAGTGATGCTCAAGGCTAACACCTGGACTCAAGGACCACTTTTGGCTCCAGGGACAGTATGGGTTGCCAGAAAATAGAACACACAAGTAGGTAGCATGAAAGGCAAGCACCCTGCCCACTATTACTAAGTCTGTCTTGATTCTGCCTGTTGGGATTCGATCTTTTGTTTTGAAGCCATACCTGGCAGTGCTGGAAGCCAGGATCTAAGATTTTTGCATGCAAAGAACCTACTCCAGCTTTCTGAGCTCTGTGGGTCTCTTTTTATTGTTTTGTTTTTCCTTTCATCTTTTGGTTTGGGACCACACCTACCAATGCTCAGGATTTACTCCTGGTTCTGTGCTCAGGGATTATTCCTAGTTGGGCTCAGTGAAATGTATAGTGTGCTGAGAACAGAACTGGGCTGTGTGCTGGCCTTACCGACTGTACTCTCTCCAGCACCTCAATTTTTTAACTCCCTAAGATAAATCTATAAAACTCAGTAACTGAAGCAGTTCACATCCACCCTAAAAACATAAAAAATTTTTAAAAATTCTACAAACTGACAAACCAAAAAAAGGGATATCTAATATTTAAATCTCAGACTTCTTCATCAAGATCATGAACGATCGGTTTGAGGCTCTTCATGGTCCCAGAGCGAACAGATGCCATTGGGCTACACTAGCACGCGACAGGGACAAATGGAAACGTTACTGGCGCCCGCTCGAGCAAATCGACAACTAACGGGAAGTTAAGTGATTAAGTGAATATTCAAATCATTTTGGAAATTAAAGTACAATACAGAAATGTGAAGAAATGTGTGTTCACTGGGGCTGGAGCGATAGCACAGTGGGTAGGGCATTTGCCTTACATGCAGACCATCGAAGTTCAATTCCCCAGTATCCCATACGGTCCCCCATGCACCGCCAGGAGTAATTCCTGAGTGCATGAGCCAGAAGTAAATGCTATGCATCGTCGGGTGTGATCCAAAAAGCAAAAAACTAAAAAAAAAAAATTTTAAAAGCCATGAAATTTGCTTATAAGTGGATTAAAAAAAGTGTGCCAAAAAGGAAAAAAAGCATAGTAGAAATGACATCTGTACCTATATGTTCATTGCAGGACTGTCTACAATAGCCAAAATCTGGAAACAACCCAAGTGCCCTAGAACAGATCACTGGTTAAAGAAACTTTGGTACATCTACACAATGGAATACTATGTAGCTGTCAGGAGAGATGAAGTCATGAACTTTGCTTATAAATGGATAGACATGGAGAGTATCATGCTAAGTGAAATGAGTCAGAAAGAGGGACAGACATAGAAGGACTGCACTCATTCGTGGAGTATAAAATAACATAACATGAGGCTGACACCTAAAGACAGTAGACACAAGGGCCAGGAAGATTGCTCCATAGTTGGAAGCCTACCTCATGAGTGGGCGGAGAAGGCAGCTGGAATAGAGAAGGAATCACTAAGAAAATGATCGTTGGAGGGATCAGTCGGGAAGGGAGATGTGTGCTGAAAGTAGATAAAGGACCAAACATGATGGCCTCTCAGTATCTGTATTGCAAACCATAATCCCCAAAAGTATAGAGAGAATATGGGGGAAATTATCTGCCAGGAAGGCAGGGGGAGGGGTGGGTATACTGGGGAGATTGGTTGTGGGAAATGTGCACTAGTTAGAGGGATGGGTATTTGAACATTGTATGATTGTAATTCCCAGCATCCCATATGGTCCCCTGAGCACCACCAGGAGTAATTCCTGAGTGTAGAGCCAGGAGTAACCCTTGAGCATTGCTGGGTGTGACCTAAAAAAAAAAAATATATATATATATCCTCATGAGGATATAATCACTGTGTCACTGTCCTCCCGTTGTTCATCGATTTTGCTCAAGTGGGCACCAGTAACGTCTCCATTGTGAGACTTGCTGTTACTGTTTTTGACATATTGAATACGTCACGGGGAGCTTGCCAGGCTCTGCCATGCGGGCGAGATACTCTTGGTAGCTTGCTGGGCTCTCCGAGAGGGACAGAGGAATCGAACCTGGGTCAACTGTGTGCAAGGCAAATGCCCTACCGCTGCGCTATCTCTCCAGCCCATAAGGATATAATAAAAAAAAAAGCAACCAGTTTTAACAATTATTTATTTAAGCCCATCACTAATCTTCTTTCTCCTTATTCTACTGTTCTATTACCTTTATTATCTTTACCATGTAATTCCTCAACCCTCCCCTTCTCCCACCACTAGACCAGGTTTTGAGCCCAGGACCACAAACATAAAAGTGCTCTACCTATGAAACATATCCCTGGCATAAAAGCCTTTTAAAAAAACAGCTACAGGGGCTGGAGAGATAGCACAGCGGGTAGGGCGTTTGCCTTGCACACGGCCAACCCGGGTTCAATTCCCAGCATCCCATGTGGTCCCCTGAGCACCGCCAGGAGTGACTCCTGAGTGCAGAGCCAGGAGTAACCCCTGAGCATCGCCGGGTGTGACCCAAAAGCAAAAAAAAAAAAAAAAAAAAACTACAATACTATTATCAGCCTGCCAAAATCATCAACACATCAGTATGACAAGATACTGTTAAAATTTTCAAATTTTCAACTGTCTCATAAATGTTTATATGGAGCTTTAAAAGTCAATATATTCATATACATATTGATATATACACATGAAGCTTGAAAGGAAGTCTATACATAAATTTTGCTGTCCACAATAATTTGTCGTACAAAGTTTCTTACTGTCTGAATTTTATGTACAAAAATACAGAAAGGAGTCAAGGAAAAAGGAAGGGCCCATGAGAGGAACCGGACAATGTAGAGGACAGGGGAGGGAATACTAGACACAGTGCATGAAGGCAGAACTAGATCAGGCAGGACTGGGGCTGGTCAGGAAGAGTTACTGGAACAGACAATGAATAGGGAACACAGCAGGGGGAAAGGGCTGGGTCATGAAGCAGGAAGAGGCACACAGGACAAAAGAAGGCACTGTATGGAAGAGGCCTTAGGAAACAGGTTCTAAAAGGTTATCTAATTTAGTTTCTAAACTTAAAGGATTTTTTTGTTTTGTTTTGTTTTAGGGACACACCCGGCGTTGCTCAGGGCTTACCCCAACTCTGTACCCAGGAATCATTCTCGGCGGACTTGGGGGAACATATGGGATGCCAAGACCAAACCCAGATTGGTCCCATGCATGCAAGGCAAGTGACTTCCCCGCTGTTGTATCATTTTTAGCCCTAAAATTAAAGTTTATTAAAAAAAACTACTTAAAGGATAGTGTAATTTCTAGTTCAAACTATTTTATATATACTTACTGGGAGCATAGCTTCAGCCCATTCTCCATGTCCTCTTTGCAGAAGTTTAATTCTTTCCAGATCATAACACACTTGGACAAGATCACCCACTTGAAATTGTGAGGTACCTCCTTCTGCACCTTGAGCAGCATCCCCACTTCGGACAATATTTGCTTTAGTAAGAACAGCAGGATTAAAGGTCCACCTAAAAAGTTTTAAGCCAAAATTCAAAATGGTAAGTGTACTCAACTTTAATACAATAATTCTTAAAGTCTCAAAGAGCAAAACCTGTCAGCACACCAAAAGAGTAAAGCAATTATTTCTAATTACATTCTGGATGGCTGCATTTATTTTTATAATTTTATTATTCAAATGGAGGAGCTATCTGTAATCTCACCAACATATGCTTTAAGTTAGATTTATTTCCCTTTCATGTTTTCAAAATGTATTATACAGGAATCCAGAAGATAGCTCAAGTAGTAGAACACACGCCTAGCATTTGTATGGCCCAAATTCAATCCCTGGAGGATCTCAAGTACGGCCAGGCTCAAGTACTCCACTGCTGGGTCCAAGCAATAGAATGGCACCACAAGGATGAGAACGGACAGGAATAATTCCCAGGTCTTCCAAGCACTACTCAGCAGTCCCTGTTTGAAACATTATTACAGGGGCCAGAGTAAGAGTATAGGGCATACAGCCTTGTATGTGCCTTATATGTGGCTAACTCTTAGTTCAAGCCCCAGCATAACATACAGTCCCCAGAGAACTGCGAAGAGTAAACCCAGAATGCTGGAGATAGAATGTTTGCCTTGCATGGGTTAGACCCCCAGCACCATATGTGGTCCCCCAAGCACCACCAGGAGTAATTCCTGAGTGCAGAGGCACAAGTAATCCCTGAATATCGCCAATAGAGCCCCCCCAAAAAAAAGTATTTAATAACAATTTGATGACCAATTGAAGAAAAAATATTAACACTAGGGCCAAGAATTCTGACCAAAAAAGAAGTCTGTAAGTAATAATCCCAAATTTGTGTGACCGTCACATTTCCAAACAAATATTTAACACGACTTCTCAGTATATGCTAATCTGAAATTATGTTGTAGTTTCACAATTTTCCCTTCTTTTATTATTAACAATATTGACAACTAAACCATATAATTTACATATCAAAAAAGTATAATTCAGTGGCTTTAGTTTTTTCACTCAATTGTAACAACCAAAGACTACTACCTAATTTCATTTTCATCATCACTAAAAAATATAACTATTAGCAGTCACTCTGCATGCCTCCTCCTCACAAGCTCCTGACAACCATGAAAATTTCCAATGGGTTTATTATGTAGCGAATACTTTATATAAATAAAATCACAATGTGCAACCTTTTGGAACTTGTATCTTTCATTCATCATTGTATTCCAAGCACGAGGAACCCAGGGCCTCATACATGTAAGGTAAACACTACCAATGAGCTACTATTTTTTTGTGAAATATGGGGATTTCAGGAATCTAGGAGCTACTATCAGAACTTCTGCTAACTGGATCACTTAATTGATTAAAACCTGAACATGTAGTACTGGCTCAGGTCCTAAGGAGCCGAGAAACTGCCAGAGTCACCCTGGTAGCAGTGCAAAGGCCACCAAGTGGTGTCCAAGGCTTCCAGGCCTATACCCAGTGATGCTCAGGGTCATGCAGCTTCAAGGAATAAAATACACAAAGATGTCACGCCACTGGCCGAGCAAGTGAAAACAGAGATAGACAAATGGGACTATCTTAAACTAAGAAGCTTCTGCACCTCAAAAGAAACAGTGACCAAAATACAAAGACAGACTACAGAATGGGAAAGAATATTCACCAAATACACATCCGACAAGGGGCTGATATCAAGGATATACAAGGTACTGGTTGAACTACACAAGAAGAAATCACCCAACCCCATCAAAAAATGGGGCGAGGAAATGAACAGAAACTTTCGCAAAGAAGAAATCCGAATGTGCTAAAAGGCACATGAGAAAATGCTCTACATCACTAATCATCAGAGAGATGCAGATCAAAACAACAATGAGATATCATTTCACACCACAGAGACTGGCCCACATCCACAAGAACAAAAGCAACAGGTGCTGGCGCGGATGTGGCGAGAAAGGGACCCTCCTTCACTGCTGGTGGGAATGCAGGCTGGTCCAACCCTTTTGGAAAACAGTATGGACGATTCTCAAAAAATTAGAATTCGATCTCCCATTTGACCCAGCTATAGCACTCCTGGGAATATATCCCAGAGAGGCAAAAAGGTATAGTCGAAGTGACATCTGCAATTGTTTGTTCATTGCAGCACTCTTTACAATAGCCAAAATCTGGAAAAAACCTGAGTGCCCGAGAACAGATGACTGGTTAAAGAAACTTTGGTACATTTACACAATGGAGTACTATGTAGCTGTTAGAAAACATGAAGTTATGAAATTTACATACAAGTGGTACTACATGGAAAGTATCATGTTAAGCGAAATGAGTCACAAAGAGCGGGATAGACCAGAAAGATTGCATTCATCTAGGGAACATAAAGAAACAAAACAGGAGACTAACACCCAGGAAGGGCTCAGATTAGTACCAGGAATTTTGCTCCATGACTTGAAGGCCAGCCACTTGTGCTAGGTGAGAAGGAAGCTCAGATAGAGAAGAGAGCACCAAATAAAGGGTGCTGTGAAGACACTCCCAGGGTGGGAGAGACATGCTAAAAGTAGTCTATAGACCAAACATGATTGCCACTCAATGCCTCTCTGGCAAAACACAGTACCAAAAGAAGAGAGAGAGAACAGGGGGGAATGCCCTGCCACAGCGGCAGGGTGGGACGGGGGGGGGGGGGGGGGGGATGGGGGGGGATGCTAGGACCCGTGGTGGGGGAGGATGGGCACTGGTGGTGGGATGGGTACTTGATCATTGTATAACTGAAACCCAAGCACAAAAATTTATAAGTCTATAAGTGTACTTCATTGTGTTTCACTAATAAAAAAAATGATAAAAAAAAATAATAAAGCAAGGATTTCTCAACAACAACAAAAAAAAATACACAGCAGAAATGTGCAGGACAAGCACCTTCGCTCCTTCACTTTGTTCTTCAGACCCTGACCGCGTATTTTTAAGATTTATCTATGCTGAAACATGTTTCAGAACTCCATTTCTTTAGACAGCCAAACTATATTTCCATTGTACTCATGTAACACATTTTGTTCTGCATTTATCCAAGGACAGACAATGTGGCTTGCTTCCACTTTCTGGTCGTCATAACAATAATACTTCTGGAGCCAGAGAGATAATGTACCAGGTAAGGCGTTTGCCTTAAATGCAATTAATTGATCTAGGTTCAATCTTCGGCATCACATATGGTCCCCTGAGCACCACCAGGCTGAGTACAGAACCAGGAATAAGCCCTGAGCACTTCCCTCGTGTGACCCAAAAATACAAAGAATAAAGCTTCTGAGTTGGAAAGAATGTAGAGGAGTTAAGATACTTGCCATGTACATGTGGATCCCAGTTCAGCCCCCAGCACATATCAACCGTCCCACCCAACAGTGCTAGGTGAAGCCTTGGAAGCCTGTGAATTCTGCCTGGGTAGCCTAGATAAATTACAGCATCACAGGGCCCTTAAGCATGAAATACTGCATCTACCAATTAAAAAACCAAGGAATGTCTCTAGAATAGTGAAAAGAATAAATTTTGGGGGGAGACACCTAGATCACCTTTACCCCATAGAATAGGAAGGAGAAGGACAACAAAGGAAAGAAGTCAAGAGGGGAAGATGAGGGGAAGTAAAGGGGAGCAGGGATCAAGGGCCTCGGTACACCAATAGTGTACAGGAGCAGTAGAGCTTCAACTTCAAACCACAGAGTCATTAACATTGAAAACATGAGATCCAAACTACAACAACCAAACTTGAAAATGTGCCTGTCAAAGATGGCAGGCTAGGGATTATGGGAGGGAACTTGGGAACACTGGTGGAGGGAAGTTGAAAAAAAAATGAAGAGCAAATTCCGATTGCTTTAAGCCACTCAGGTTACGAAAATGTGCTAAGGCAACCCAAGGAAACCAATGCACAATCTAAACAGTACAAAATGTTCTGATAAACAGGATCTTTCCATTTGTTTGAAGTGTTTATTTCCTCCAACAGTGCTATATACTTTTCTATACACAAGTTTTACAAAACCTGGGATAAACTTATTTTAAGTTTTGTAATGTTATTTTTAGTCTGTTTGTTTTGTTTTCTTTTTGAGACATACTCATATGTGCTCGGGGATTATTCCTGATTCTGTGTCCAGAGATCACTCTTGGGATTGTTCATGGGACCATATGTAGTGCCCAGGATCAAACCAGGGTCATCCCTATACAAGGCATTGTATTAACCCCTGTCCTATCTCCCCAGTCTCTGTAATGCTATATTAGATATTTTATTTTTAATTTCATTTTAGGATTGCTCATTGCTAGTATGTAGAAATATAATTAGTTTTTCTAAATTGCCTTTCTTATACTGAAACTCTGCTGGACTCATTTATTAGATCTAATAATTTGTGAATTTCTTGGGTGTTTCTATACATAAATTCATGCCATCTGTGAAAAGAACTACCTTCTGTTGTTTTAAGTTTTAAAACACCAGCTCGCGGCTGCATTTCTTTTTCTTGCCCAACTGCTCATGCTAGACTCTCTAAGACAATGCTAAATAAAAGCAGGGAAAGCAGATATTCTTTTATTCTTAATGATCATAGGGGAAAAATATTCAGTCTTACATGACTGCACATATTAGTTGCACATTTTTCATAGATGCCCTTTTTTCTGACCACACCCAACTGTGCTCCAAGTTTACTCCTGGCTCTGTGCTGAGACAACTCCTGGCAAGGCTCAGGGGCCATATGAAGTGCCAGGATCAAACTCAAGTCAGGTGCGTGAGAAAAATGACTTACCAACTGTACTATCCCCTCTATTCCCTTTCATCCCCCTCTTAAACACCGGTTTCACTCCATCTTCTTTCAATCTGATATGTTATGGGGATTTTATCTACCATCTAAAAGAATGTTTTAAAAGTGTTTCATTGTATAGTATTGCTTTAAGGCTCGTTCCTCTATATACTACATTATTATTTTACTTTATTGGAAATTGTATTACCAACCTATTGCCGCTTGGATACTGTACAACAATGTCATGATCTTCATCAATTCCACAAACAGTTCCAGTTGTAGTTAAAGTCTCAAACATGCCATCAGTCCATCCTCCATGACCATGCTGCAAAGACTGTACAATTTCTAGGTCAAGATCTATATTTACCAGGTCACCGATCTGCAATCCACCAGGATTCCTGTTGCCATTCTGCTCACCTACAATTTCAAAGGGAGGGAGTTGACAAAAGTAAAAGAAAATCATCATGGTAACATTATTTTTAATCAAGAGTATGCTCTACATATTTTAGTTATCAATGTATCTCAAAATGTGTTGGGAATATAAAGTATAGATTCAAGTTAAGAACTTTAACAAAAGAAACAAAATAAGCAGACTGAAAATTTGAAATGTGATCATCTATAATGACTGAGCAAGACTATCACCTATAAAATACTATGCAACATTCTACCAAATCACAACACTTCAGATATTAAAAAATAACTCACTTTTGATCCAAGGAAATGGTTCAAAGACCAAGCACATGATTTGCAATGCAGGAGGGCTGGTACGGCCCCTTAGCAACAGTGGATACAAAGGATAACTAGGAGCACTACCACACAGACAGCCCAAATTTACTTTTTCTGCATACATGACTTGTAACTACCACGTCGATGAAAGAACAGTGTTTCTCAAAGAGCCCCTGGGGAGGCCTGGAACGATACAAGGGTATTGCTGAAATTGTGAGCGTTGATTTCTGGTTTTCACTTAAAGGTAGATTTCCAGTGGGGTGCCGAGTGATTTTTATTTTCCCTGACAAGATCAAGGGTCTGAGAGTCAAAAGAGTTCGGGAACTTATGAACTACAAACATAAAGAATAATCTCAGAAGTTTGGGGGTATTTTTTCCTATGAAATATTTAGTACTTTTGCTGAACCCCTTCTTTTGAGGGAAGGGTGTTTTGGGCCACCCCCTGTAGTGCTCAGGTTTACTCCTGGCTCTGCATTCATCAAGCCTCACTCCTGGAAGAACTTGGGGACTGAAAGAGATGCTAGAGTCCACCATGAGTAAGCCAAACAAAAATGCTATCCACTATATTAATAATCTCCAAGTGACTATTACGGTTTTTCCTTTATTTCAAAGTCCATTTCCTACTTTGCCTTCTCTACTTTTTTTGAGGGGGAAGGGGTAGCAGAGCAGGAATTAACCCTAAGGACTCATGCACATACTAGGTGGCACTCTTACAATGAATCACACGGCAGGTCTCCCTAAATTATTTTCAAAGCTGGTCTGGAAGATAGATCATTCTCATAATACACCATGTTGTGGGTTCCAAAGTATGAATGTAATATACTCTACACTTTCCTTATATAGACAAAACACTAAGAAAAAAATTTCTGAGAGCAAGATAAATGGATCTCATAAAGATAAAAAAAATAGGTACTTATATTCTTTTTTTTTTAATAATATGCTGCAAGAAACAGTACATTTTGGCAAAAAGACAAACGAAATGACCTGTAAAGAGGCAAGCAGAGTTTACAAGAAAATATTCACTGAAAGATAAGTTTAATCAGAAGAATCCGGTAAATTATCATCTTAGCAACATTTATTTAATTCATAAAATGAATTCGCTTTGGTTTTCTTAATCTTTTCAATGATACATAAATTTTCATTTGTTTATTAAAACTGTTATTCAAGGGGCTGGAGCAATAGCACAGCGGGTGGGGCATTTGCCTTGCACGCGGCCAACCCGGGTTCGATTCCCAGCATCCCATATGGTCCCCTGAGCACAAACAGGGATAATTCCTGAGCGCAGAGTCAGGAGTAACCCCTGTGCATCGCTAGGTGTGACCCAAAAAGAAAAAAAAACTGTTATTCAAATGCCCTAGGACAACAGAAAAGAAAAACATGAAAACTGGTCTTCAGCAGGAAGTCTGCCTTTGGAGTGTGAAGAAGGGGCGGGGTGAAGGTCAGGGAAAGCAAACTACAATGGTCAGAGAAAAAGTGTATACCACAGAGAAGAGTTCAGGGCAGAAGGGAAACTCGGGACACAGGTGGAGAAGTGGAAAGGTGAAGGGATGTGAAGGGGTCCGGGTTCCATGCTGCTGGAACACTGTATATATGAAACTCGGAAGTTACCTTGTAACTTTAGAATTCACGGTGATTCAATCAAAAATCAAAAATAAAATTTTAAAGAGCCATTATTATTTTAGAGCTTAATGTAACTATTCTTGAATTTAAAAAAAAAAAACATTTTGGGGACTGGAGTAATAGTACATCAATTAGCCAACCCAGGTTTGATCCCTGGCACACCATATGGTACTGATTCCAGCTAGGAATAATTCCTAGGCACAGAGCAGGAACTAAGCTCTGAGCAATGCTGGGTCTAAAAGCAAAACAAAAAAATCTAATTAATTTAAAATACCACTTTACTGAAACTCTAAGGAATCCAAGAGCACCAAATTACCAGATATATTCTCAATAATGTAAAAATCATCACTGTCCTCCCATTGTTCATCGATTTGCTTGAGTGGGCCCAGTAACGTCTCCATTTTGAGACTTGTTGTTACTGTGTTTGGCATATCGAATACGTCACGGGTAGCTTGCCTGGCTTTGCCAGTAAAAACCATGACATTAATTATCTAACACAAAATTATCCAATAATGTAAGTCTGTGGTTTAAAGAAAAAAGTTTGAGGCTGTGAAAATAGCTCAAAGAGCTGGTGTACATGCCCTACATAGTTAAAGCCCAGATTTAATTCTAGCACTAAATGGTTCCTCAAGCACCACCAGGAGCAACCCATAAGCACCGAGTCAGGAGTAGCTCACTAGCACTGCTGGGTGTGGGCCAAAAAAAACAAAAGACAAAATTTAAATTATGACATGAATTATGACATAATTCTCAGAACACAATGTTTTTAAGGAAAGAAGTTTTTATTGAAAGAAATTTAGAGATATGTGAGGGAAGACAAGGGAAAGAGAGAAAACAGTGTTCAAAAAAGAACACAAGTTTGGAAGAAAAAGCAGCAGAGAAGAGAAAGGCAGAGATACACGTTCAAGGGAGAACAGAGGCTTAAAAAAGCAGGGAACCCAACATGCCAACTCTTTCAGAGTCCAAACAAATCACTTAAAAAGGAAGTACTTTAAAACTAAAAATAACAAAGATTCTTTTAAAAACTTAAGTCCAATTTAAACATTTTTCTGATTTTATGAAGTTTGACCTATTATTTGGTAATGTTTGGCAGTCTGCTAACTCACCTAGTACAGGGCAATGATCTCTGTAAAAGGAACCTCCTTTGGCATCCTGGACACACTTCAAATCAGACTAAAAAGAAAAGAAACCAGAAAAACCATCCATTCAGTACACCTCAATACTTAAAATACATAAAAGTGTTCATTTAAATTCACATGAGAAAGTATTTTTCTTGCCAAAAGCATTTTGGATATTTATAACATCACTTACAGTCCAGGTTATACAAGCAAAAGAGCTATGAGCAGCGAAAAAGAAATCTATGCGTCTATCCCATCATATGTAAAGCCAGACCTCATGATTTCATGGGCCTTCAATGGACCTGCTGCCTAGATGTCCCTACTCCTGATTTAAAACATACCCTCAGAAATGCCCTGCCACAGAGGCGGGGTGGGGTTAGGGGGTGGGAGGGCTACTAGGATCATTGGTAGTAGAGAATGGGCATGGGTGGAGAGTACTCAATCATTGTATAACTGAAACCCAAGCACGAAAGTTTGTAAGCCTACAACTGTAGCTCATGGTGTTTCACTAATAAAAAATAAATAAAACATACCCTCAGAAAAGGACAATTACTGGGTATCACTCATCTGCAAAGAAGGGAATTGATGGTACTAAGTGATAAACCTTTGGCCTCTGATTATAAAACTGAGGTTATCTGGGTTGGAGCTATAGCATAACAGATAGGGTACTATTACATGCAGCCAATGACTCTACATCCCAATGGTCCCCTGAGTACCACCAGGAGGGATCCCTGAGTACAGGGTCAGGAAGGAGTCAGCCTTGAACACAGCCAGGTACGGCCTAAAACCAAAACCAAAATAACTGAGGTTTTAAAAGGAGGGGGCAGAGGGCTGGATGGATGGAAGAGGAGAACAAGAATGAAATAAGGACAGTGGTGGAGGACATTAGGTGCTTTGGTGGTGGTAAAAACCCAGTAACTTTGTATATCAAAATCATAAACATAAAAACATTAAGGGGAAAAAAAAACCATAAACATTACCCCATAAAGTTACAGCCAAGTGCAGTCACTTGCATTGCATATGTCTGACCTGGTGTCAATTCCAGGCACCTCATATATTCCCTCATGTCCCACCAGGAGTAACTGACCCCTGAGTGTAAAGCCAGGAGCAAGCCCTGAGCACCACTAGGTGTGGCCCAAAACACAAAACAAAACAAAAAAACCTTTGATTTTAATAAAATATTTAATTATACTATATAATTAAATTACTGAAGGCTGTATTATAACAATCCAAGAAACTCAAAAAGATACCATTAAATATACTATCATTATTTTCCTAAACACTTAAGTCAAACTATTTTCAGGTGAATCATTTTTCAATTATCATACTATGACAACACAGAAAGGTGTTTTTAGCTTAATATTTTTCATTATAAATTGTAATTTATTATTTTGTCTGCTACCAGAGCCTAGAATACAAATACAGTTTTAAAAAACAATCCAAGACCTGAGGGTCGTCACCCATTTCCATGCCAGTATCCCGCAGAAAGCAGCAGCAGAGGGACCGGAGGCCTGCGCCAGGGTGGACAGGGGCTGGGTGGCACAAAACGAGGGCATCATTTCCATGTCCCCCTCTCAGTTTTCCTGCTCCCTCTGTGACCACTCCTCAAACCTGCCAATCATACCTGTGTTCCTGGAGACGATCCCCTGGGGCAGATGGACAACGCGCTCCCAGTGCATTTGCCCCATATGCAGTGTTGTGGGGGACCAGGAACGTGGAAGCTATATAACCTCCTGCCTCTCTAGGGCCCAGGGTTTGGGCTGCAGAGCCAGGGGACCATTGAGGGTGGAAAAGGCCTTGTGACTGCCAGCATATAGGGTCTAAGTTTGAGAAGATCCTGAAGAGTTTAAAATTTTTAAAAATATGGGGGCTGGAGTGATAGCACAGCAGGTAGGACGTTTGCCTTGCGGGCAGCCGACCCAGGTTTGATTCCCAACATCCCACATGGTCCCCCAAGTACTGCCAGGAGTAATTCCTGAGTGCATGAGCCAGGAGCAACCCCTGTGCATCGCCAGGTGTGACCCAAAAAGCAAAAAAAAAATAATAATAATAATTTAAAAATAAAATAATAAATTCTATTTTCCTAAAATTATAGATGACTTAATCTTAACAGAGTTTTAGCGATTAAGTCACCAACTTACATTCCTAAGGATCAGGTTTCTATAAATCGAATATACTATAAGCTATCCAAACAGTAGGGGCCAGGGGGATAGTTAAGGTGTTTGCCTTATATTAAGCCAACCCCAGTTTAGTCCCTAGCATTACACCAGGAGTGATCCCTGAGCACAGAGCTAGGAGAAGCCCCTGAGCAGTGCCAGGTGAGGCCCAGAAATAAACATACAAAACAAAGTTATCCCTCTGGTGCCAAAGGGTAACACAGCAGATAATCCCAAGCACCACATATGGTCCCCGGAGCCCCTCCAGGAGGAAGCACAGAGCCAGGAGTAAGCCCTGAGCATTGCCAGAGTGGCCTAAAAAAAAAGATGAAAAAACTTTTTTTTAAAAAAATGCACCAATGTTACCTAAGAGCAAATTTGTAAGAATTAAAGTAAAACAAAATGCTGATTCTACTTTACAGACTTTCCCTCCAATGCCTTACTAAGCATTTCAGATACTTGTATTCTGACAGAGGGTGACAAACAAAATACAATATGGGCTCCATCTATTTTCTTTTTCAACCTATCCAGCACTTCTCCCTTAGGGACTATTGTACTCACCATCCCCTCAAAGCCAACTCTGTAAAGGTTCTTCGCACCATTATCCCAGAGAACATATGCTGCACTATGTGGGCTTGATGCACTCCAGTCTTGTATTTCTGTTACCTACAAGAAGTTTTTGAGAAAATAATTTTTTAGTACGTTATTTTACTTAAATATGGAGACAATCATTTCATGTGTGCAAGGGAGATATCCCAAAGGGTGAGCACTCACACCTCGTATCCAGGGGCCCAGAGCTGGATCCCCTATACCACGGCTCTGAGCACTACTGAACACAGCCCTGGTGGCCACAGCACCACTGGCACCAAGCACAGAACCAACCACCAGCTTCTCTCAGGCAAGCTTCAGTGTGGTCTCCACATGCCCAACGGGGGCCCCCACAAATCATTTTAGGGACTAGAAATCTGGTTCAAATGGTGAAATACATGCCTTGCGCATGAGGCCCTGGATTAGACTCCCCTGAACCACACGATCTCTAGTACCACCAGGGATGTACCAACATGCCACCATTACAGCATCCACAACAATTAAAAAATAGATCATTCCATATAAAATTAAAGTGAGGGGGTGAAGAGGTAGTAAAGTACATAAGGTGCTTTACTATCTCTCAAAACAACAAAATAAACATCAAAAAATGCACTTGCCAAATATGTATCATTTCAAACATTAAACTTAATTATAAAAGTAAGTTTTTCAAGAATCAGAAAATTTCTAAAACCCACTATAGAAAAATTACTTTTAACTTTTAGGCCACACCTGGTGCTACTCAGGGTTGATTCCTGGCTCTACACTAGGAATCACTCCCAGCTGGGCTCAGAGGACCTATGGGGTGCCAGGGATTGTACACAGATTGGCTATGTGTAGTAAGGTAAGCGCCCTACCCGCTGTACTGTTGCTCTGGGCCCAAACCACTAAAGAAATTTTAAATTGGGAAACTAAGTGATTAATAACAGATCCTCAGGAAATGTCTAAATTGGGACAGAGTGGGGGTAAAGTGCCTGCTTGCACACAGTTTAACTCCCTGTACCCAATAGGTCCCCAGAACACTGCCAGGAGTGATCCTTGAGCACAGATCCAAGAGTAAGCCCTGAGCACTGATGGGTATGGCCCTCCCCCAAAAACAAAAGAAAACATGTAATTAAATGCAAAATTTTATTTATTTTTTGCTTTTTGAGTCAGACTCAGCAATGCTCTGGGGTTACTCTTGGCTCTGCACTCAGGAAATATTCCTGGCGGTGCTCGGTGAACCATATGAAATCCCAGGGAATTGAACCCATGTTAGCCTCGTGCAAGGCAAATGCCCTTCCCACTGAACTATCGCTTCAGCCCAAATACAAAATTTTAAATCTTTCTATAGCACAGCAGGTAGGGCGTTCGCCTTACAAGCGGCCAACATGGCCGACCCGAGTTCGATTCCTCCGCCCCTCTCGGAGAGCCCGGCAAGCTACCGAGAGTATTCGATATGCCAGACACAGTAACAACAAAGTCTCCAATGGAGACGTTACTGGGCCCGCTCGAGCAAATCGACGATCAACGGGAGGGCCTTTACCTTTACCTTTACCCAAAAACAGTTTTTAAACTATTCTTAAAACCAGAGAAATAGTACAAGGGGTTAATGTGTTTGTTTTACTAGCACCAACGAGGATTCAATCAAACATATGGCCCCCCAAGTATCACCTGGAATGATCCCCTGAGCAGATAGCCAGAAGTAGCCCCCAGATGTGGGCAAAACAAATTACACAAAAATTACTAGATATTCTATAAAACCCATTTATATAATAAAGCATTGGAACTCTGACCAAATACCCAGAAAGGCTCAAACCAAATCTCTTTGGTCAGCTAAAGATGGTAGGTACGCCTGTCATGTGCAGGACTCTATGTTCATTCCCCTGCAATGATGAGCCAGAGTCAGGAGGAGGCCCTCAGCATCACCAGTTGAGGGCAAAGCAAAATAATAATAATAATAATAATAATAATAATAATGTCTAGAAGAGCTTTGGATATAGCTCAGCAGTATGTGTGTGACACGGTTTGAGTCCCAGCATCACCCCCCCCAAAACAAAGCACATGTCATAATACTTAGGAAGGACTGACCCAAATAACAAAGTTTGGTCCTCTGAGCCAGCCAGAAGTTATCCCTGAGTACAGAGCCAGGAGTAAGCCCAAAGAAATTCTGGGCAACAAAGCACTGTAGCACTGTCCTCCCATTGTTCATAGATTTGCTCGAGCAGACCCAGTAACAGGTCTCCATTGTGAGACCTCTTGTTACTGTTTTTGGCATATCGAATACGTCACAGGTAGCTTGCCAGGCTTTGCCGTGTGGGTGAGATACTCTCAGTAGCTTGCCGGGCTCTCTGAGAGGGGCGGAAATTTTTTATAACTTTTGCTATTGACGTCTTTAATGGTCTAAAGGCCCCAGAGAAACTGTTTCAAATAGTAAACACAAACAACAGAATACAGAGGATTTCAAAAGAAATAAAGATGTTAAAAGTGTGCTATAGGAATATATGTCCATTTCATGAGTAGATTAAACTATGGAAACTAGAAGCAGGTCTACTAACTTCTAAAATTTCAAAGAAGATATTTTGAGATATTTGCAACAAGTATAATGTGAAAATACCTGTGATTTCCATTGGTGACAAAATCACATTCTGCCAGTGCTCATGTGCTCTACTGCATATAGTCATACTAGTGCAAAATGCTAAATTGTAGTTTTACATGGGCAACAAAAATCACAAAAAAAATAGTTGGTATGAAAAATGAGGCCAGAATTGACAAAATCTACCTACAATCTTCTCAAGAAATTCAAATATATACAAAAGAACAAGAATCAAGGCTGGAGAGATAACACAGCACGGAAGATATCTGCCTTGCACGTGGCTAACACAGGTTTGATCCCTGGCAGCAAACAGGGTTCACTAAGCATCAGCCAGAGATCCCCAAGCACAAAGCCAGGGATCCATGAGCACCAGTGGGTGTGTCCTCAAATCAAAACATAAATAAACCCAAGAATAACTCTTTTTCTTCTAGGAAAACTTTTTTAAATTTTGATTTAGTTTTGGGGTCACACCAAGCAGTGCTTAGGGCTTACTCCTGCCTCTACACTCAAGGATCTCTCCTGGCGGGGCTGAGGGAGCCTCGGGGTGCACGCAGGCAAGCATCTTACCAACTGTCTTATCTCACCAGACTAAAATAAGGATTTGTAAAATTGTTACTGCCAGAGCAAAAAAAAGGGGGAAGAAATTTAACTCTAAAAGTAGTAAAAATATCCTGAATATATAGAATTCTAGAAGAATGTGATAAAGTAAGAAAAAAGAATTACCTTTCCCCTACGCCCATTTCCTCCATCCTGATCTTCCCACTGCCAGTCTACACCGCGAACCACTCTGGCACCCGCAAAGATCCCTCTTGCTGTAATCTTCTTAGATTTTCTACGAGACTCTAACAGAACCCTAAAGATAATTCATTTTCAAAATTATATGAAAATAAGCAACAAGTTATTTTGTGTAAGATCAATGACATGCTGACATGTAACATTAGTTTCAGGTATACAGAATAACAACTTATTTCTATTATCAGAAAATCATCACAATAAGTTCATTAACTCATCTGTCAAATCTTAATTGTAATAAATTTTTTTCTTATGACTTTTAAAATCTACTGTCAGCAACTTTCAAATATGCAATAATTTTATTGACAATAAACACTATGCTGTACATTATATGCCTATAATAAGTTTGTACCTTTTAACTTCCATCATCATTTAATAATTACACATCACTCTGTATAACCCCCATCTTTGAAAACCATCACTCTGTTCTGTTTCTATGAATGAGTGTTTTTTGGATAAGTTATCTAAGTGAGATAGTTTGTCTTTCCCCTAATTTATTTGTTAGCCTAATGCTCATAAGGTACATTTATGTTATCACAAATGGCAAATTATTATTTGCCATTTTATGACTAAATAATAAAACATTTTATACATGCCCATACCACAAATTACTAACACATTCATCTGTCAAACAAATCAGGTTGTTTCCCTACCTTGCCAATCATAAATTTTAATTTTTTAATGAAAAAGAATATAAAAAAGAGAATATGAGAGCACAAAGCAAGACATATGTACAATTACCACTTAAAGTCAAACTTGTGAAGACAAAAGTAAATGACAGGGCCTTCAGTAGACTCAAAAGCATGATTTACCAGGTGCAAGTACTCCTCTGCTTTAGCCAATTATTGTCGTGAACAAGTGCAGGCCCAATACTAACAGTCTGGTGAGTGGGTTAATATTTTTTATATATTATCAATTGTTAAATTAGAACACTGAATGACAAGTAAAGTGCACTGCAGCCTGGAACTGAACTATACTAAACCTTCTCCAAAATACTACATACTTTGACCTTGAAAAAGATAGTTTACTTATCTATCTGGGCTGGAAGGATAGCACAGTGGGTAGGGAGTTTGCCTTGCACACAGTCGACCCAGGTTCAATTTTTCCGTCCCTCTCGGAGAGCCTGGCAAGCTACCGAGAGTATCCCGCTCACATGGCTGAGCCTGGCAAACTCTTCGTGGCGTATTCGATAAGCCAAAAACAATTAACAACAAGTTTCACAATGGAGATGTTACTAGTGCCCACTGAGTAATCGATGAACAATGGGAGGACAGTGCTACTTATCTATCTAGACCAGCTTGAATCTCCAATGCTTATCTACCCTTTTACTTATTCTTTCCACATTCTTCTCATTCATGAAATTTTAAAATCTCAGTAGGAATCGTAAGAGAAAGTACAGTAGGTGGGGTGTTTGATTTGCATACAACTGACAAGGCTCAATCCCTGGCACCATACTGCTCCCAAGCCCGGCCAGGAGTGATCCCTGATTGCAGATTCGGAAGTAGCCTGAAAAGAGCCAGGTATAGCCCAAACTATACAACAACAAAATTCCTTAAGTTTATTATTTTGTTCTAATTTTCTAATGGGAATATGCATTTTTATTCATTTCTAGGATATTTTTATTAAGTTCTGACTTTAAGAATTATACGCAAAAGACAAACAAGCAATTTGTTTGAAATTACTCAATTAAGGGATCAGGGCAATAATACGGAGGGTAAGATGCCTGCCTTGCACACGGGTGACCCAGGTTCCATCTCCAGCATTCCATATGGTCCCCATGTACTGCCAGGAGTGATTCCTGAGTGTAGAGCCAGGTGTGGCCCAAAAAAAGCAAAAACCAAAAGTACTCCATTAAGTGGCAAGACCAGGATATAAACCAAGCAAGTTAATACCAAAGTCCACTTTTTAGTGTTCCTGCTTCCTCCCTCTGGCTGGCTAGATCCCTGTTCCTACTATCTACATAAGAAGATTCAACCATCTAAATTTCTGCACACATCTGCAATTAGTACTTCTCTTTGCTCCTAAATAATTTAGTGTGTATCTCTATGTACAATCCAAAATAATCAATGTTAATCAAAATTTCCTTAACTTGTAAATTTCTTAGACTACTATTTATTAATCAACAAATTTGCACTAGTAGCTACAATTATGAATAGGCATTTGATTTATTCAACAGCAGAAAATAACAGAATACATAGAAGAAAATAAACATTATTGAGCTCCTTTTGCATTTCCGAATGTGTCAAGTCCCTCTATCACAGAGGAAAAACAGCCCAGATTATCTGTGGGAGCTACACATAGTTTCATTACACAGCTCTCCTCTGGTTAGCAAAGGTAAGGTCTGTCCCACATCTAGTTCGTTGTTACTTCTCGATTCTACACCAGCTGTCAGAAACTATTTCCAAATCCTATTTTTAGGATTAATTAATATTAAAAAAAATGAACACAAACAAGAAATTGTGGCTGAAGAAAAAATTACTTCTCCTACCGTTCACTTCCTGGTGTAGTAATACGGTAAAAGCGATGCCTTAAGTGATGTTTATCTCCATGATAACAAACTGTGCACAAATCATAATTTGTACACTCTGCACATTTCCATCGAATGCCAATGATTGGTTGCTGGCGACAGGTATCACACATGGTTCCATCATGTTTAATGCCTGTAAAAATAAGGATATATGCTCACATTACTTGAACGTTACTTTCTGGGGTGAGGAAAGAACTAAGAATACAGCATGGGGCTAGAGCGACAGCACAGCAAGTAGGGCGTTTGCCTTGCCTGTGGCTGACCCGGTTCTGATTCCCAGCATCTCATATGGTCTCCCAAGCACCACCAGGAATAATTCCTAAGTGCAGAGCCAAGAGTATCCCCATGTATCGCCGGGTATAACCTCCCCCCACAAAAAAATACAGCATCTGGGGGCCAGAAAGATGATACGCTGGCTAAGGCCTGCCAAGAGTGATCCCTGAGCACAGAGCCAAGAGTAAGCACAGCTGAGTGAGGCCAAAAACAAAAAGGACAACATTTTATAAAGCCTTTCAATAAAATAAAATATATTCCAAAATTTCCAGTTATAATAGATTTTGAGTATTTTAACCAATACAAATTAATGTGACCATTTCTAGCCTTTATTTTATTTTTCTTTTTTTGGAGGGCCACATTCAGCCGTGCTCAAGGGTTTCTCCTGGCTCTGCACTCAGGAATTACTCCTGGCAGTGCTTAGGGGACCATATGGGATGCGGGGATCAAACTTGGGTCGGTCGTGTGCAAGGCAAGCACCCTATCCGCTGTATTATCTCTCCAGCCCCCCTTGATTTTTTTTTTCAATTGAAACAGATTCAATCCAGAGAAATAAAAAACAATCTTTTACCACCCAAGTATATGTTTCAGATTGCAAACATTCAAAAGTCATTGATGAGGGGCTGGAGAAATAGCACAGCAGGTAGGGCATTTGCCTTGCACGCAGCCGACCCGGGTTCGATTCCCAGCATCCCATATGGTCCCCTGAGCACCGCCAGGGGTAATTCCTGAGTGCAGAGCCAGGAAGAACCACTGTGCATCGCCAGGTGTGACCCAAAAAGGAAAAAAAAAGTCATTGATGAGCTTCAACCTATTCTCCACAGACATTTACTCAAAAAAAAAAAGAACAGTTTTATTATCATGAAAACATGAAGATTATCAATCAAATTAAGCAATTATCTCTAGGTATTAACAACTTTTAACCCACAAACAATAAACTTCAGAAAATAATCAGCAAGTTAAGATTTCAATAAAGTGATGAGGATTGGGGCTCTTTCACAGGATTAATATCCTCGTATGAAGAAGAAAAATACAGAACCAGTCCCACACTCCGTTCCTCTCCCCTCTCCCCTCCCCCTCCCCTTCTCCTGTTCCCCCTTCCCCTTTCCCATCCCCCTTCCCGTCTCCCCTACCCCCCTCTCCATGTGGTTCCTGGTGTTCAAATTCTAGCTTCTTAGAAGGCTGCTTTGCACTCCACCCACCCCCATCCAATCTCCTCAGAGAGTGAGGGATGGCCCACCCACTAAGGCACTGTTCATTGTGCAACTCTTCAAATGACTTAATGAAACGCAAAGGACAAATGTATCCAAAACCAGGGTACAGCTCAGTGGTAGAGTACATCTAGAGTATGTACTCTAAAAAGAAGGGGGAAAAATTATCCAAACTCTTACACCACACACACACAAAAAGGTCCAGTTTTCAGCTATTTCCCTATTCATGTATTTTTCATCTCTAGGTTCCATCACTAACAATATTCGTGAGCTCTTAATGAAGTATAGTTGTTCTTTTAATTGAACAATTTAAACAATAACCTGTTGTAAAAACTTACACAATTAATGGTTTTAAAGAATACCTCAGAAAAAAATCATTAATGCACACAAAAGCACATTGAAGTCCTTTGAGTCACACAGTTCAAATGCCAACAAAGCCACTGAACAGCTGTGAAACAGATTAGTGCTGGGAAAAGTAAATAAAGCAACCCACTCCACAAGAAAGATAAGCACTACAGAACTTTAAGAAGAATGCAATTCATTGACTTTAAAACAAAAATGATATTTAAAAGAAAACATAAAACAAGATAAAAGGCAATGAAATAAACAAAATTAATGTTTTACTGATCTCTTAGTAGCTTTTTTGTTTCTGCTCACATCCACCTAATTCATTCACATCTAAAATATGGTTTCCCAGTTTAAACCTTATGCTTACTTAATTCCCTATCATAGAGCTTTGTCTCTTTCCTATAGAATATCATTATTACCCTAGTCAGTTACTGCTCTTTCACTTTATAGACTTTATAAAGACATCTGCCACCATTAAATGAACCACCTGATGTTAGCTTTTGACTCATTCTACTAATAATCAAATGACCATCTGCTCAGCTTTAATGGTATCCTGACTAAAATTAGTAACTTAGAAAATGTATATTACTTACGTCTTTTTGTTTAAAAATTATTAAGGCCAGAGGATGGAGCAATAGTACAGAGGGTAGGGTGTTGGCTTGCATGCAGACAACCTGGGTTCAATCCCTGGCATCCCATATGGTCCCTAATCCCTGCCAGGAGTTGTCCCAGAGCACAGAGCCAGAAATAAATCCTGAGTACCACTGGGTGTAACCCCCCCAACAAAACAGAAAGTTGGATTAAGGCCAGGGGCCAGAACAGTAGTACAGCAGGTAGGATCTTGCCGTGCATGCAACCAATCCAGGTTTGATGTCCAGCACCCTCAAATGGTCCTTACACCCTGCCAGGACTGATCCCTGAGTTCAGAGTCAGGAGTAAGCTCTTAGCACTATCAGGTGTGGCCCCTGAAAAAAATTATGAAAGCTAGAAAAATAATACAGAGCTTGTTCTGAACAAAGCTGACCCTGGCTAAAGCCCTGGCACTGCACATGGTTCCCACATCATCACCACGAATAACTCTAAGCACCTTTTTCAGGATGCATGGTGAGCCAAAAAAAAAACCCCACTCCTGGTTTTGTGCTCAGGGGTCTCAGGTGAAGGTGACAGGAAGATGATCTGCAGTGCCAAGAATCAAACTGGGGGTGAGCAACACACAAAACAAGCATCTTAACCCTCTCTCGCTCTGGCTCAAATAACAAAAATTTCTTAAGAGAGTTCATAAAATCTGTTCAAATCCACAAAGCACTGATTTAAGAAAAATGTTAAATTTCTGGATAAAAAAGATAAATGAGGGCTGGAGCAATAGTACAGAGAGTAAGGCGTTTGCCTTACATGCAGCCGACCCGGGTTCAATTCCCAGCATCCCATATGGTCCCCCGAGCACCTCCAGGAGTAATTCCTGAGTGAAGAGCCAGGAGTAACCCTTGTGCATCGTCGGGTGTGACCCAAAAAGCAAAAGAACAAACAAAAGAAAAAGATAAATAAAATAAAACTACAGTTTTCACTACAAAGCAGTTCACTATTAGAAGCATTTCTAGTGAACAATAGCTGAATTATTACTTTAACAAAAGACAAAGCAAAACAACTATTAATGAGAATGGAAACATATATAGGAATTCAAGAAATGCCTCAAGTTAAAGATCACTAGCTAAAAATTCAACAAGGATGAATCCTTTTACCGTAATACTGAAGGGCTGGAGTGATAGCACAGTGGTAGGGCATTTGCCTTGCACACAGCCAGCCAGGCCGAGCCAGGTTCGATTCCTCTGCCCCTCTTAGAGAGCCCGGTAGGCTACCAAGAGTAGCTCACCTGTGCGGCAAAGCTACCAAGAGTATCTTGCCCACGCAGCAAAGCCTGTCAAGCTACTCATGACGTATTCAATATGCCAAACACAGTAACAACAAGTCTCAAAATGGAGACGTTACTGGGCTCGCTAGAGCAAATCGATGAACAACGGGAGGACAGTGTTTGTTTTGTAATATTGAAGCTTTTTTTTTCTTTTTGGGTCACACTCAGCGATGCTCAGGGGTTACTCCTGGCTCTGCACTCAAGAATTATTCCTGATGGTGCTTGGGGGACCATATGGGATGCCAGGGATTGAACCCAGGTCAACCACGTGCAAGGCAAATGCCTTACTCACTGTACTATTGCTCCGCTCCTGTATTTAATTATACAAGAGAACAAAGAAAACAAAAATTGCCAACAAATACTACAAATTGCTTACAAATACATATAACATTTGTGTAAATGGAAAGAAAACCATGGGAATGATAACTAACTCCTAGATAGTAGCTACCTTAAAAGAGAAATTAAAAGAATGAGATTTGGAAAAAGTATACAAGATACTTGAAATACATTAGCATTGCTTTGTTTCTAGATCGGTCCATAGGCATTTGTTAATCATTTATCTATTCGGATATCTTAAATACCATGGTTATGGTCAAGGTCCTCCCGTTGTTCATCGATTTGCTCGAGCGGGCCCAGTAACGTCTCCATCGTGAGACTTGTTGCTACTATGTATGCATATCGAGTACATCACGAGGAGCTTGCCAGGCTTTGCCGTGCGGGTGAGATACTCTTGGTAGCTTGCTGGGCTCTCCGAGATGGGCGGAGGAATCGAACTCGGGTCGGCCATGTTGGCTGTGTGCAAGGCAAACGCCCTACCGCTGTGCTATCGCTCCAGCCCATCTTAAATACCATGTGATAGTATTTAATTTTTTTAAATAAAAAACATCCCGGGCAGTCAGAAAGATTATTATAAGTCTGCCTTGCATGCAGCCAACACTGGTTCAATCCTCAGCACTGCATGTGCTTTCTCAAGCACCGCCAGGAGTTATCTCTGAGCATAGATTCAGCTCAGCAGTAAGCCCTGAGCATTGCTGGACGCAAACCAAAACCAGAAAAGCAAACCAAAAAATCCTTAGGTCATTATGAGCTTGATTAAGCCTCAAAAAACTATTGCCCTTGTTAGAAGATTTGAACGTTAAAAAGTGATTTCAGGGGCTGGAGCAATAGCACAGCAGGTATGGCATTTGCCTTGCATGTGGCCGACCTGGGTTCGATTCCCAGCACCCCGTATGTTCCCCCAAGCACCGCCAGGAGTGATTCCTGAGTGCAGAGCCAGGAGTAACCCCTGAGCAACAGCTGGGTGTGACCCAAAAAGGAAAAAAAAAGTGATTTCAACATTAGAAAAGAACCTACAGATCAAGAGGGAAATTTACAGAGTACAGGAAGGAAGGC